TGTCTTCATGTATTATAGGGGACCCCAATCTATATCACTAAACCCCGAATTCCCTTAACATAGACTTAAATACCAGGATCATTGTGATAGGGATCCCCAAGACGCCTGTGGAACTCTTCCGGGGCTTTGGCTATATAGCCTCAAGAACTGGCGCGCCAGGGTTTAGGGTTCACGGTGTGGGGTTTCAATATGTGCCATCGGTGAGGTACACAACACAAAGTCGAAATCAGCAGGCCCAAAAACCTAGAGCGCAATTGTCCATAGATCCTCAAGCCCTGTCTCTAGGGTTTAGGGTGTAGGATTCCTTAAATTTGAGTGGCTTTGCCCATGAACCGTTAGGCGACATACAGAAGCCTGAAAAATTACCCCTTCGAGCTCCTTACCATAGTTTCTACTATTCTGTGCACCAAAACAAACTACGGAATCCTAAGCCCTAAACCCTATTCTAGTTCTTCAGGTCCCTATATTAGGGAGACCCCGTCTGTTTTGGTTTAGATGGGGCTGGCAAAAAATTGGGAATAGTTGCCCCATAGAGTCATTGCAGACTGCTCTAATATTTAGCAGGGTTTAGGGTCTCGGGATTCAGGGTTTGGGGCATGCCCCATTCTTGAGGCCCTGCACTGAGAGTGCAAGGATACAGGTTTGGGGGTGATAGTGTTTAGGGAACAGGGTTTAGGGTTTAGTGCCACAGGGTCAGGGTGTAGAGTTTTGAGTTTTGAGGCCCAGGCCCATGCCGGTCTTTTCGAAATCTCGTGTGCCAGATATATATATATATATATATATATATATATATATATCGTGGCACTCACTTAATTGAAAGCTTGAACTCCCCCTTGAACAAATATCGAACCTGGCAATGACCCACCCCGGTCGTCTTAAGAGGGGCTGATGTGGCGTCCCATGCCAACTTCGCAGGGGGTATGTATCTCTGAGTCCTCCAAGTCCCTCGAGTACATGGGGTCTCGAAACGATCGAAGTGCGTAAGGCCTAGCAGGGCCGCATTCCCCAGCCTATCGTGCTCCTTTGTTTTGTCTCTGTCGCCTCATCCCTCCAGTCGGTCACGTTTGGGAGTTTTGCAGTGGCCTTGGAGTGGTGTTTTGGGTCTGACTCTGGTGGGATCTTACCGTCGTTTTCTCTGTGATCTTTCACTGTCTGCAGCTGGCATAGTATAGCTTCCCATAGACTCTATAACCCTAAACCCTACACCTATGTGGATCTAAACGACCTTAAGCGACCCCAGGCCCATGCACCAGAAGCAGTAAATGATCTGATCCCCATGCAAAAGCCTCTTGTTGCCTACTCAATCCCTCAAGCCAATCCCCAAACCTCAAACCCTGAATGTAATATCCTAAACCCCAAACCCGAAACCCTAAACCCAGGGTTCATGAACCCCGAACCCGAAACCCTAAACCATGAACCCTAAATTCTAAACCCATACTTTAAGGCTTTAATGCAGATTCTTGATATACGGGGGCCCTGGAAGAGGTCCTCCACGAGGCTCCTCCACTTCCGCAAGTTCAAGCGCACCCAGGTCAGCCAGGAGCGAAGTTGGGGCTTGAACTGGGGGGTTTAGGGTTCAAACCCTAAACCCTAAACCCTAAATCCTAAAACCCTAAGCCCTAATCCCGTTTAGGCAGAGGCTGGGGCTCTTTAAACCCTAAACCCTATTTCCGGTTTAGGTCTGTTTGGTGCTTCAGGCTCCAGGGCCTCAGGCGAGCTTCAGGGTTCCGGGCTTACCTTAAGAACCCAAAACCTACTTGTTTGTAGGGTCCCTGTAAATCCCATATTAGGGTTTATAATAAGAACCCTAAACCCTAAACCCTAAACCCTAAACCCTAAACCCTAAACCCTAAACCTACAAAATTGTGGGTTTTAGGTTCTTAAGGTATAGGAGTTTCCGAGACTCTTCGGCTTGGTCCTCCTCTGACGGGTTTAGGGTTTAGGGCTACGGTTATGGGGGGATGCTTCCCTAAATCATTATTCATAGTAATTCCTGTTCAACTTATAGAAACCCAAGATTCTACTATATAGGTGCATAGGATCCTCTGAGTTGTCTACCTGCTTGTCTAGCTCCTCTATATACACATGCACTGGGCATTGCACTTGTACATATTATACAGTTGTGCGTATACGTATGCGTTTGCCGATACATCTACATATTCACATAATACATATGGGCAATTATATAGGTAGGTAGGCAGGCAGGCAGGCAGGCAGGGAGGTAGGTAGGTAGGTTGGTAGGTAGGTAGGTAGGTAGGGAGGGTGGCAGGCAGGGAGGTAGGTAGGCAGGCAGGCAGGCAGGCAGGCAGGCAGGTACGTATGTGTGTACGTACACACATGTTAACACGTATGTCTGTACGTATGTGTGCATGCATGCACGGATGTATGTATTCATTCCAGGAATAGTGTGCTAACACCATGGGCCCTTGCTTTCAGGGTAAAGAGAACTGATACTGTCACCGAGTGGCGAGCCTCGAAAAGAGGCTCTCGTATCCTATAGTCTTGCGTCATTTGCAGAGATGCTGCGAATGGCGTCCTATTGTTTACCGTTGGGTTAGGGTTTGCCGTAGGCTTCACCTTAAAACCTAGACCCCCAAACCCTAAATACGAAATCCTAGACCTTAAAGTTCTCAACTTCTAAAGCCCCTTAACCCTGAGCTTTCTAACCTAGGCCCTGAACTAAAACCTCGGAGTGAGTTACTCAGTTCATTCACGGCAGACCCTCTACCTATAGTTGCCGTTGTAGTTCCTTTTTGGGGCGCCCTTTTAGGATCCTAAATATAAAGATGGAACCCTAAACCCTAAACCCTAAACCCTAAACCCTAAACCCCAAACCCTAAGGGTTTCGGATGATGAGCGGCCCTAAACCTGCAAACAGAAAGCGACCCTTCTCGTGCTTGGCGTTTTGCTCGGCTGTTTAGGGTTTAGGGTTTAGGGTTTAGGGTTTAGGGTTTAGGGTTTAGGGCTCGGCGTCATGCTCGTGCCCCTACGGTACCCTCGTTGCCAGTAGCGTCATACGTAGTTCAGAGGGAGCCGTGTTTTTGAAACGAGCCATACCGTGGTTGTGACAAACCTGGCATGGCCTTACCCTAAGGGTCCATGTACCCAAATAGTATATACCTTGGCCCCAAAGTACTGATGTAGGGACGACTTTAAGGCCAAAGTATATACTATTTGGGTGCATTAAACCCCAAACCCCAAACCCTAAACCCTAAACCCCTGGGCGCATGGACCCTTAGGGTTATCTTAAAGACGACGTTGAATACTCCTGGCATTTTGGACGCTCGGTCTGGTACAGATGTGCGGGATTTACATTTCTCCCAGACCGCCTACTTGGAGGATCCTGGGACTTAGTAAGTAGGGTTGTAAGTACTTTGATTGGGGTTATAAGTAATTATAAGTATAGTTACCTTAGTTATAACCCTAGTTACTAAGTCCCATGATCCTTTAAGTACAGTCCTAAGGTCCGAAAACTTGGGTCCCTGGAATATGGGCTGAACACGGGGTTATTTTAGCCTAGATGTTGGCAGGAGAAACCCTATAAGCCCCATGCCCAAAGACCCTGGACAGCCCAAACCTAGACGCTGGATCCGACCCCCTTAAGATCCTTTGAGCCACACCTTAAGAACCCAAAACCTACTTTGTTGTAGGGTCCCTATAAATCCCATATTAGGGCTTATAATAAGAGCCTACAAAAAAGTGGGTTTTGGTGGGTTAAGATAGAGCCTAAATCCCAAACCCTAAATCCTAAACCGAAAGATCCCCTGGAACCCTAAACCCCAAACCCCTAAACCCTAAACCCTGAACCCCTAAACCCTAAATCCCCCTGGAGATTCCTTTGGGCATTAATTCTTGCCCGGGAGAGTTTCTTGCTCGCTGGGTGGTGGTTGGGGCGGTTTAGAACGATTTGTGTGATTAACGATCGCTTAAGAGATAATAGCTCGTTTGGGACGTTTGGGAAGAAAACGCTCGATCATTGATATGCTCACCCTGATGTTCTATGATGCTCTACATCATGGAGAACGACCATCAGACGTCGGAGTCTCAGTTTTTTTCTCAGCTGAAGCGCTCATTGCACTGCTTCTCAAGCTGCAACTTGTATGAGCCCAGCATTTTTTGCAGGGTGCGAAATGCACATGAAAGAGCATGGGTCCCCGAGCGTCTCGCAACACGACTGATGCGACCAATAAAGTCTTCATCCGCCCAGCAGGCGGCGTCTTAGTGCAACATTTCCAGAACAAAAATATCGATCACTATCTGTACACGAATCAGCACATATGCCAGTCTTAAGCACCACACTCATAGGATTCAGGGCCCAGATCCCCTGTGTGCCACAAGTGAGCAGCTGTATCCTTGGCTATATATGAAAACACATTAAGCTCGACTGGTAAAAAATAGCCACTGACCGATCGATCGATCTTTGATTCGAAGCCAAGAAACGAGAAATGTTCCTGCATGTGCAATTTCGGTCGCACCCTGAACAGCCTGAAGCCTCTGGATGCAGATGCCTTCGCGAGGCACACGTAGCCAGCCTCCGTCGACACTAGCATTTAACATATTATCATGCTATCCTAGGCTGGTACCCGACCCTATCTGAACCAAATATTATACGAGCGCAGGCATAGGGCGACCATTTCATGACATAGCTGCCCTGCCACGACACACGTAGCAGGTTCCAACCATAAGCCCTCTCGGTGAAGCAACCGGAAATACGAGTTGGCGCACTGCACAGTGTACACGAGCATCTGGAAGATATGAGCTCGGCTTACCTGCTGGCTGCAGCTACCCCCAAAACATGGCCATGCTAGCAGCTGTCACTTGCACATATGCATGTACGGTACTCTATATGCAGCTACAGGATCCATTGTTTGCAAGTAATCTTCCAGCCATGATGTCATGATGGCCGTGTCGGCCCCCCGGCCACCAGTTGCGGTTGGATAGGCCGTCGCTTTCCTGGAGTATGCATGCAACGATCTTTTGAGAGCAAAACCATGCATGCATCATGTAATATGTGCATGCATGCATTTCTCACCAAGTATCTTTGTCATTTTGAAGGCTGATGGTGTAAAGGATCTGATATTAGTCGACTTCTTATTGTCGTGGCACCAAGCAGCGTAGTGGCTGTATGCTTTCGTCAGGCGGCTCTGTAGGCCTCTTCCAGGAATAAGCTTCATCTTGCAAAGCAGAACCAAGCCCGAGACCACAAAGTCTCGGCCCACACTTAGCCACAATAGCACAGCTTGCATGCATGTTATGCAAGAAACTCTGAGCATGATCGATTCTGAAATAATACCAAGCCACCCAATATGCCACGTGTGGGCCGGGTCCACGAGAGCTCTCATTGGATTCGACATCCCAGGTATGGACCACAGTGGACAGGGTATGTCATGACGGAAAGGAGCCGGGCTCTCATCGAAGCGCCAGCTTGCACCCTCAGAGAAGTCATACCACTCCTCGGTTTATAAAGCAGATCTGCATCAGGGTCGAATACTACCGGACCAAACCATATATCGTACGTAGGCTGTACCATAAACTATATAGTTCGATATTCTCAAATATCCTGACTATTCGCCTTAGGGGTTGTACGTATAGGCAAGCCAAGGGTCTCGACTACTGCAGAGGTGACATTTTCTTCGGCACTGCCAGCCTGTCTTGAGAGCCATTGCCTTGCGGGGAGCAGGGTTTTATTTCACAATGATTGCTAGCAGGACAGGCCAGGAGGTGGACAATTGTTTATACCCCATGCCTTCCGCAAGTAGACCCAGTCCCCCTTGACCCCCACCATTGCGAAGTGCAGCTTGATGGGCCCGGCCGGGGTTGAAACCTCAAATGCGTGCATACATCAAGCGAGGTTGGACTGGTGCTTCCTGGCCGACATCATCATGGACACACTTGCCTGCTTATATTGCAGCTCAGAGCAGTAATGCCGTTTGTGTAAAGGTCGACAAGGTCTTTGGCAAAGGCTTCATTCAAGTTGTTGAGGGTGGAGTCGCCCCAATAAAGTTCAGATGGCAGCACAGAGTAGAGAAAACGAGTGCAATAGGAATGCCTTGGTTGTATGAATGTTTTGGGGCCCCATGCAATACATGTCGGGACTTAATCGGCCCGGGTTTAGGGTTTAGGCCAGGTTTATATAATACTGGGTTTAGGGTTTAATACTTTGCCAACTTATTATAGACCCATGATATCACAGGCACCCGCTGCTATTCTTGAAGTCAGGGCCCTTGAAGGAAATACATGGTTGCCACGCCTCCACCATGATCGGCAATTTGTACTTGCCTCTGCCTTCATCACCATGGATGTAGATCGGGATTGTGTGTGAGGGGGCAGGTGCCCCTGCCCCGTTCATGACATGCTGCGGATCATAGATCTGGTGTCGGGACCAGAAGTCAGATAGCAGTTGCTGCCATTTTGTCGTTTGCAGCAAGTCCACTCCACCCAGAAGAAGAAAGCTGAACTCTTTCAAAAGGTAGGCAGCCCAAGTACTTGGATAAATCACAGGATACCATACAGTGATCTTCTTGACTAGTGGCCTCCTCTTCCGAATTGGAAGCTCGACAAAGCTCAGTTCAAGAGGTGCAGTCATGCCCTGTCGATGAATCAGCTTATGTAGGTTTCTGCATGTATTGGTCTTGCTGCTACCGGTAGCAGCAATCTTGTAGAGGATATCCAATTCTCCTAGGCTCGAAAAAAACCCCGATGGCCAAATGAAGCACATACACATGCCTCTACAGCTTAACACATGCTGCCGTGCATCTTTCGCTGCCACCAATCTTGTAAACAAGATTTGCCATGTCTGCAGCTCCTTTGGCTGTTTCGGCCTGGGCATATGACAGAAAGGAAAGCCCAACACACATACACAGAGACCTGCTCCTTCAGCTCAAGAGTCCAAGCTAGGGTATTGCACAAGCCAAGATGCACCAGAAAGATACTTTGATATAATCTCCGCACTAGCCGCCAGGTCAAGCTCGCGATCTTCTTCTTCGCATCGATTCGAGCCAGGTCCTTGCGAGAGGTTATTTGTTTCAGGGTGCAGGGTTCATCTACATGTGACACAATATTATATGGACTCGACTCGATGCGATACAAGCTTGCTAGCCAGGGTATCATGAAGTTAGGCTGGGTTTAGGCGGGGTTTAGAGTATAATGTTTCAATATATATTATAGCATATTATACATTCTTAATTAATCCCAGGTTCCATCCACCAAAGATCTCAGGATCTGGTTTCCAGCTCCACCACTCCCTGGCTGTGGGAACTAATATGATACTCCGGACTGTATATATATTTAGTGCACCTGACCAGGCTGCATCACTAATCTTAAGTCTTGCACAACTAGTATCATGGGCAGTCATTTTTGCTCCACAGGACCGATATTCCCCAGTCAGGCAGGATCTGCAGGTCATCCAATTAGCACACATACCATTAGGTTTGCGTGAACACATCAGAATTAGCATGTGCAGGTTTCTGCACAGAGCACCGCCAGTTGGTTCAATGGCATGGCCTGCACTATACACTTTAAGCACTATACTGAACATGAACCCAAGGCCCGACTACCTATCGAACCATCATGTACTTTATAAATTATAAGCAGGCATTCAACCACTGTAACCATGTGCAATCCATCACGATCGCTTCTGCTTCTTGGAAGAGCGCTTAGGACTGGATGCAGCCCTCTTTCCCTTGCTCTTGGGCTTAGCCTTGCCCCGAGAGGATGTTTTCCCCTTCGGAGGCGCCTTTGCGTGGGACCTGGAAGGGATAGTGTGTCGGGTTTGAGGCGTAGGGTTTAGGGTGCATAGGGTTTAGGGTGCATGTGTAGTTTATAGTAGGGGATATATTAAGTGCAGCCTATTGTAGGGTTTTGCAAGAGCAGCATATGGTATGTGCACCTGCCTGGATCGTACCATCAGAGCATTGATAGCCAAATCTAGGCGGGTGCATTGGGCGTAGCAGGCCAGGAGCTTTTGCTTCGTGTTCCTCAGCGTATTGATTAATTGGTTAGTACGTCTGGGGTTTCTGATGCGATCCGGAAAAGCATTTACCATGTATATACATCCAAGTGTCCGGGAGGGCGGGGTCCCCGCATCAAGAACAGCATCCTCCTGAAACTGCAGCAGGCCCTTGTTGAGCTTGTCCAGCTCATCAACTTTGGTCTTCAGCTCACCAGCTAACCTGCACTTTAAAGCTAGCCCAGGGAATAATATATTGTACATGATATATATATATATAATCTATAGGCTTATGGGTTTACGGTTAGAACTATGAATTGGTACGAGTCGCTCACTAGCCCGCTTCGATCCATTCTCATGCAGCTTGTCCTGTGTCAAGCAGCATATATACTCATGTATGAGCACAAAACACTTCAACGAAAGCTCCTTCAAGTCGTTGCCCTTGTCAACCTTCTTCCCAGTCATGTCGATGTACACAGCCAGAACACCTTGGAAGCAAGAGGGGAAGGTTGCACTTCAGGTAGTGTTTCATCCAGGACAACGTACTGTAGGCACACATGCACATGCACATTAAATATATTGAATCTGCCGGCCAAGACACTGAACACATCTTGGTTTGCTTGCAAGACCGGCAGGCACTTTTCTTTAGCTGAGCTGGCCGTGGAAGCTACTGCTGCTCGTGCATGATCAACCTCTGCCCTGGTGCCAGCATTGGTCCTGAACAGTACAAACGGATCGAGCCTGGAATTCATAGAGCTCCTAGATGTTACACAATTAGTGCATACCATGTCACTGCAAGGCCGACTGCTCGGTCACCGTGTTCATCAGCAGGCTGCCGGTTGCATCCTGAACGGCTAGTTGGGGATAAGAGTTTGGAGTTCGATCAGGGCACAGGGACCATTGAGTCTTGGCTGAGTGGTTCGATCCTGGGCTAACTCATATCATATTATACTTACACCATAGGTTTATGGCTTAAGTAGTGTCGGCTCGATCTACTCATCCTAAACATATAATAGCTATAGGGTACACTTATAAGTTCTGAGCATCGGGGTTCAGGGTTTGTGGCCGATAACTCTGATTGGCCTCGGCCTTGGGGGAGGGTTCAGTTAGGGCCCGATATGATCAAGTGTGGAATGGCTAGCTCATATAGTAAACGATGCATGAACCATGCAGTTAATAGCTAGTATACATTATCAATGCAGGCAACCCTTTGCTATTATAATATTATAATATTGTAGTCATACAAGCTCTGAGCCGATACAACCCAAACCATGCCAATCCGGCCTGACACTCAAAGGAGCCCGATTGCCGGGCGCTCTGAGACTCATCATTCCGCCACAGAAACTCTTCCTTGGTCGGGATCTTGTACTCCTCAGCACCATGCACTTCGTTTGTTCGGGTCAATCCTCGTGCAATGGCCCAGCGTTTGGAGTTGTCGATCATGGTCCTTACAGATGCAATGGCCATCATATAACCCCGATCATAAAAAGCACAAACATGCCAACGGTTGAACTATATGCAGTCATGTAGCTGTGTGAATCCCTGTTGAGCCATGGATATCTCCGTTTCCCAACCACCTTTCTTATCGTTGCGAGAAAGCTGCTGGGAGATCTTCTCCAGATGAATCTCGACGGCTGCGAACGAGCCGTGCTTCAACAAGAGTTCTCTCAGCTTCTCCCCTCAGATAGCAAACCCCCGGCACTCCCAAGATGATATTGCAGTTCAATCACCGCACTAGGACAAGCTAGCAACACCACAGCTCAAGTAGCTCAGCATTACAAGTCACTGGATGCAGTATCCCGATACATCCTCATGGCTTCCTCCGAGCATTTGAGCTCTCCCCGCTTGTTGGGTTTGAAGTATCGATTCATCCTCGGTGATGGCACAGCAGTCACAAACGTGAAAGTGCAGGGACTCATGCATGCACCCCACACAAGACCCCACCCGCCCACACCCACACACACATATGCATACACTGACACAGACCAGCATCTTCCAGTATGTGCCATCGTCATACATGGATGGGGTAGAGCTGCAAGTGGTTGGGGCTGGGGAGGGTGGCACAGGCCCAGCTGCACGGTCTGGCCCCGGCGTCGAGGCCTCCTTCTGGGTCGGGGTGCAGGACTTCGACTTAAGCTTGCGCTTGAATGGTTTGCCTCTGGCTGGCGTAGCAACCACTCGAATCGGGTCAGCTGGCTGGGAAGTCTTCGCAACCTCCCCTTGGTGTGGAAAGCCCGGCATAAAGGCACCTTGGATCGTAGCCTCATGCACAGAAGCTCCAGCAGCAGATCCTGCAGGCCCATACACATAGTCTAACTGCTGGCTAGGGAGGAAGCACACAGGGGGACAGTGATAGAGTGTTAAATCGAGCAACATAACACAAAAACATATGCACATCAGTATGACAAGCCAGAGGCATGTATGTTGAATGGGAACTAGGAACACATGGTGTGCACACACACAAGTGATGCAAGCATAGCAGGCATAGCCATAGTGTCCTTGTGGATCTGTGCCATCGAATGAGGCCATGTCCTGCTGCAGCTGCAAGATGCAACGTGTCTGTTCCTTAGTTGCAGTGTGCAGCTCTAGACCACCAAGCAGCCAAGAGCCTCCCTGTATTTGATCGAGAGTCAGCAATCTGTGCATCCAGTTCATCAGCAGATATCGTTTGGCACTGACCAGCCACCATTGCAAGACCCAAGTCAAGGGACTGACAGGTTACAGTCCTCTGCACTGGCATGATGCTTCAAAACTTTGTGCCTCAAATATATATATCGAGGTGGCAAAGCATACAGCACACGGCCTTGCAGCACAAAGTACAAAACCGATGCAAATTCATGAAATGCAAACGAGCAAAAAACCAATAATCCTGATTTGCGCCTTTTGCTGTGATTTGCGCCCGTTTTGCGCGAGTTTGCGCCCGCTTTGCGCCTATAATTGCCCGTATTATTTGGCTAGAGCATGATTCTAGGTTTTGTACCATAATTGGCTCCAAAACACCCTTAAGCATCGTTGCCCTCCTACTAACCCACTCAGTTGCCCTCATGGGCATCGAGGAGATCTTGTCGGAGAGGGTCTCCAGCAAGCACCTGAAGACTGTCGAGATCGACCATTAATGCCTAGTGAACAATTGATCTCACATTGTTTAAGATGAGGAGCTGCATCCATCAGCTCGGCATCGAATGCATCCATAGTGCTTTGCCACGAGTGGGGAACATGAAGATTCTTGTTGGCAAACAAATATGCCCATACATCAATCATCTCCGACTCAGCCCACATGTCCCCCAGCTCCAGCCCACAGAACATTTCCTTATCAGTGGCTCCTTTGGAGACCGCAACCTTCTGCCTCATGGGCAGCCGAGGTGTCGGCGATGCCTTCTCCTGCTGCCAGAGGTGGAGAATCTTCTTGCCAAACTCTTTGGTGTAGGTCCTGGGTCAGAAGGGATCGGGTTTAGGGTTTGGGGTTTAGGGTTTAGGGGCTTGCTGGGAGATGTGGAGACCATCATGTGGTGGAGAAGGGAGATAAAGAGAGAGAGAGAGAAGAGAGAGAGAGAGAGAGAGAGAGAGAGAGAGAGAGAGAGCGAGAGAGGGGCCAAGGACAGCAGACAAATCAGTCAGTGGTCCAAGCTTCGTCGGTATATCAGATCATTTGTATTATAGGCACATTGTAGAGCTAAGGGCCTGGCCCAGATTTTTTCAACTCCTTCTGCAGGCCTGTAAACTTCTTGACACCGGTTGGAGCTTGATAGCGACCTGTGGTGACTTAAGTTCAGGACATCAAGACCCAGAGCTTAAGGAGGATATGGGTTTGGGTGTTTGTGAACTGCACACATGCGTATAAGGGCCGGGCGAACAGTCTGAAACATCGTGGAGGACTTCATATCTTGTCGAGACATGTGTCCAGCTTCATCCTGCAGGCATCCATGCATAACATGCAGTCATGCATGCATATATTTAATATAATCACACAGATCAACCCCAGCTTGCAAGACACTCAGAGTCCCAAGCCTGAAGGCCCTCGGCTACAATGGTCGAATTCGACCAGACACAGGTCGGCTTCGGCGTCGGGGCACCAAACCGTTGTTGCCAAAAGTGGCTCTTGTAAACCTGGGCAACACTGGGGTCTGGTGGGTCGTGTTTCAGCTAGAAAAGGTAAGTGGCAGGGTTTACATTTAGGGTTTATATAGGGTGTAGGGTTTATATATATATATAT